CCCCCCCCCCGTTCGAGCCTGGCACCGGTGTGGCGCGGGGCCACAGGCGAAGGAGACACACGCACAGGTGCCGCTGCACGCGGCGAAGCGTCAGCCGGCTGAAACCGATCACAAACATGCGCATATCCGGCGACAGGCCGGCCGGCAGGGTGAAGGCCAGTTGGAAGTCCTCGGCCGCCGGCACGTCAGACTCGGCGCCCGGGATGGGGTCGGTGTCGGCGCGCGGCCGGCGACCACCCCCGGGCCCGGCTGCCGAGGTGGCCATGGTGCCCTCGTCATCGGGGCCGGCGCTCGCGACGCCGGCCGACCACGGGGGCGCGTCCGCCGCGTCCTCCTCGGTGTCGGAGCCGTTGCCATCGCCCAGCCCCGGGGCGAGGGAGTCCAACTCCTCCGGCCGGAGGAGACTCCCATCACCGTCCCAACTGAGCCAGAGCCGGGCCAGGTTGCGTAGCTGCCGCGGCGTCAGCCGGACCGGGGCCCTGGCTGCCTGGAAGCGCCCGTGGGGCCAGGAAAAGAGGAGCAAATCACACAGAGGCCGCGATCCATGGACGAGCATCAGCGGCAGGTGCACCACCAGGCCGGGGTGCTGCCCGGCTCCGGAGCCGGCGGCCGCCTCGCCGGCATCACCCGCTCCGCTTGGCATCGGGGCTGCCGAGACGCGCGCCATCGCCCGCGTCGCGGATTCCGGCGTCACGTCGAAGTCCCCGGCGGCCGGGTCGCGCAGGAGCAGCGCCGTCACCGAGGTCGCCTCCGTTTGGGAGCCGATGTGGAAGTCCACCGACAGCCAGACGCCGGCCACTTGCGGGCGCTCTTGCTCGGCCGGCCAGATGCCCTCGCCGAAGTCCTCCGGCAGTAGCGCCCTCGGGCGCAGGTACAGCACCTCGACCGTCGCCCGGATGAGGACCCCCCCGGGGGGCAGGTGCCTCTCGACATGGTATGCCAGCTCCCGGCTCAGGCCCTGGCTCAGGGATTCCCCGGGCAAGGGGCCGGGCCTGGCGGAGATGCTGCCCGCCAGGTCCTTCACCTTCTGCGGGAGGGGGAAGTCCGCCAGGGGAGACACACGAAAGAGCGACCAAGTCCGCTTATAGAGGACTGCCCTTCCGAGGCCGAAGCCGGGCGTGGTTAGAGGAGGGCCGGGGAGGGGAGGGGAGGGGAGGGGGGGGCACGGAGAAGCTGGCGGATCGGGGCGGGAACAGACATTGGCGCAGTGTCGAGGGGGATGGCGCGCGCGGGAGGGGGGGTTTGCCGCGTACGATGCTGAAGCCGGCTGAAGAGTTGGTGCGCGGAGAAGATGTCCCGCTCCTCGAGGCCGGAGACCGCGGAGGGTGCGGAGCGCAGGCGCCCGCTGGCTGGGGGGCGCGCCCGGCGCGACTGGGATGAGGCGGGATTCTCGGCCAGGTCCGACAGGATGTCCACTGGGAGGTCATGGAGGAGGGCCTCCTGTGAGGCGACCGCCGCGAAGGCCGGCGTCACCGGCGTACCGGCCAACAGCCGGCGCCGGATGGACGCAAACTCGACGGACTCTTCCGGAGGCAGAGACCCGGACATGCGTGTGCTTGCCAATCGGGTCCAGGTGAGCAGGGGGGGGGCGGGGGGAGGGGGCGAGCCAGGAGAGGCAGGCGAGACGCCCGGCGAGAGGTGGCAAGCGAGAGCGACAACAGGAACAGCGGGGGGAGGGGGGGGGGGGGCTATCTACTGCCCCGGCGCCTGGGCCCCGCACCCCCATCGCGGGACCACAAAAGCAGGGCCCGATTGGCGGGAGATCGCAGGTACCAACGATCGGCGGGACGATCGGCGGCATGAGCCCTGGTGCCGGCGGATCGTCGCCCCTGGCGGAGCTCCCTCCACCCTGTCGGGGCCCCCCTCCTGGCGGCGAGCGTGCACAAGCGTCGGCAGCAGGCGTTGTCGGGGCGGGGCAGGGCGGGGG